TAGGGAAGTCCGGAGTGCCTCACTCCTGTGGAAAAGTCCTCCAGTGAGCAAACAGTGATGGGAGTGTGCGAGCGCCCACCCTGGCACCTCGTTGATGGGGCAGCGGGAGGTGTCTGCGAGATGGCAGGGATGGAAAGGCTACCTGGGGGCTTGGCTTCTTAGACAGGTGGCTTCTCACTGAAGTGCAGCCATGAGGTCCTAGGAGTCAGATTGGCAGCGCCATGTGGCTCACAGCAGGTTACAGTCACTGGGATCTGCTGATAGGGGTGGGGGCTGTACTGTGGCAGGTGGGAGTAAAGGAGTTAGCCTGGGGAGTGAAGTCTCCTCGGGGCTTTCAGGAGAACCGAAAGGACCGGAGCTCAGCAGTCTCCAGAAGGCCCTGCTGGCTCTGGTTTCACATCAGCTTTCCCCTGGGCTAAGCTTGATGTTCGTTTGGCTTTCCTTTTTTAACGGCAAGCCTGTTCGTAGAAGCCAGAAGATTAACCATAGGATTGACGTTCCCTCTGGGAACATCTTCACTTTTGGATTCCCGAAGGGGACAATATATGTTAAAATGAAAATGTCCCGAAGGGACCTCCCAGCATTGAGGGCACTAGCAGAGAGCCGCGTGGCTCCCAGCATGAGCTCCTGAAGGAGGAGGAGCCCGCGGGCTGGCCACCGGGCTGCATGCGTGTGGCCTCTGGTGGCCCTGTTCACAGGGTTGTCTGGGGTAGGGGTGGTTGTCTCACTCATCCTCACGCTCACCCAGCAGTAGTCATCTGAACAGGATGACTGTCCTGTGCATGTGACACGCATGCTTTCTGATTTCGTCCCTGTCGTGGCTGCTTCTCCTCACTGCCTCTGCTTCACCTGCACCACGGTTTCATGCTTGCTGTTGGAGGAAGGCTGTTTCCTGTGCTTCCGTCCTCTTCCTTTGGTTTCCTGCCCTGCAGGGGCCTTCCTTTCTCCTACACATGTGCAGTAGCCACCCCCGTGGCTCCTGTGGGCACCAGGAAGTGAGCTGACACTCACCTGCAGTAGTCCCATGCCTTGCCACAGTGGCGAGAAGCTTGTGCCCTCCTCACTCCGCAGCTTCACCTCGGAATCACTGTTACTCCAGCACAGTGGCCTGTGTGTGGCCTCCCTGCGTGGCAGGCTGTCACAGGGCTTGAGGCCAGCCCTTGGCTCATCAAGGGCTCTCGAGTGGCAGTGCTTCCGGCGGCTGCTGTGTTCCAGTGCTGCTTGGCCTTGAGAGCAGGAAAGTGCATGCACTTAGCCCCAGCATCACCTTGGGCATCTCAAGGCCCAGGGCCTCACAACTGACTTCAGTAGTTTTTTATTGTGCAGCAAATGTGAGATCTGGTAAGAAAGTTGGGGGAGAGGGGGGAAAAAAAAAGAAAACAAGACCATGACTCTTCTTTCCCTCTTCCCTAAAACTTGCCTCCTCGACCTCTGCAGTGTGCCCTCCAGCAGAGCCGAAATCAGGCAGGACACAGACTCCCTCTTCTCTCTCATCCAACTGTAGAAATAGAATCCCTTCATCATAACCTCAAAGCCCCCGCACCCCCGCCTCAGCTGAATGTTCCCCTTGCATCTACTGAAGTGCTTGCGGTTCGGGGAAGAATGGAGAGAAGGGTGCGATTTCCCTGAACCTGTTGAAACGGAGGTCACCTTCAGGAAAAACCCTGGCTTCCAGGAGCTAAAAGATGAGGCCCACGTGTTCGGTCCCTTCTCATGAGCAGTTTCAGTTCCTTCCTTATGGGAGTTTGAGAGGTTGAAAGCTTAACTCTGTCCAAGTTTATGTTTCCAGATTCCCGTGTTTTTGGGTCAAGGTGAAAACGTGTTTTGGAACAGAGCATGCTGTTTCTCTTGCCTCTCCCTATGAACGAACGTGGCAGTGTCCACCCAGTTTGGGAACTGTACTTTCTCCTTGGCCGAGCACCTATCTCTGCATTCCCTCTCCTATTTTAACCCTACACAACGTACAAGAATCCTCTCCTTTTGCCCTGCTTTCTGCAAAACCCCAGAACAGCTAGCCTCAGTGGCCCTGTCACACCTCCCTCATCAGCGCCATGTGGGAGTAGAGTCCTGGCAGGCAGCTCCGTGCTCCAGGATGCTCGGAATGGGCCCAGGGGTCCCTCCCTTCCTGCCCACCAGCATCCGAGTCGTTCAGCCTTATCTGCAGCTGAGGAGAAACCGTGCTCATACCCTATCATGTCAAAACAGACGGCTCAATAAAATCATGGAATCTTCCTTCCTTGCATGGCTTCCCAGTTCATCCTTCCCATTCTGTGGCTTGCCATCGTGACCCATGACGTTTTCCCTCTTCCTGAGATCGTACCTCATGACTTCTAACATGTGTCTCCTGTGGCTTGTTCTGACTCCAGGGACCAGCAGCACAAACACCGTCGGGGGGACAGTGAGCAGTCAAGCTGCCCAGGCACAGCCCCCAGCCATGGCGTCCAGCAGGAAGGGCACGTTCACGGACGACCTGCACAAGCTAGTGGACAACTGGGCCCGGGATGCCATGAACCTTTCCGGCAGGAGAGGAAGCAAAGGACACATGAACTACGAGGTGCGTCTCCCCCGTGCCTCATCCTGCCCCCCTCCCCCCCGCACTGCTCAGCACAGCCCAGGCAGAGGTGCGTGTGAGCGCATGTGTAGCAGGTTGTTGAGGCAGAAGTCACCGAGGAACTCCTTGTTCTTCCTTCCCCGAATCCCTAGCTCTGTATTGGTCAGTTCATTTTTGGTTTCAAGTGTTTTTGTTTGTTTTAAGAATTACTTAATTTTATTTAGTTTTTTATTTACTATAAGGCATATGTGCTTATGGGGAGAAGGGTGGAGAGAAAGAGAGAGGAACATAGAAAGAAAGTGAGAAAGCAGGCCGCCAGGTCTGGGACTCGAGCCGTGGTTTGCCATGTGGATGTCCAGTGCCTTAACCGCATACCACCTGCTGGCCCATTAGTCTGTGTTGAAAGCTCATTTATTTCCTGTTCCCATTTGAAGACAGTGGAAGGGGGGAGGGAGACACACAAATCGACCAGCACCCCAGCAGGGCCTTCATACTGCAGTCCATTCCCAGGCTCACTGGGCGTGCACAGCCCTGCACACGTACGTTTGGGGGGACCTCCGGACGCACACCCAGGACCACACACGTGGCCGCAGCGTTGCCCGCCCTTTCCCTTCAGTGCCGTGAGCTGCCATGTAGTCACAACACCCCTCCCTTTCCAGTGAGGAGTTCCTTCCCCCCTAGTTGATAACATTGTGGAAGGCTTCGTTCTGTTTTGCTCTACCTGGTAAGATTAAGCAGTCCCGGACAGAGAACTGTATTCCAGCACCCCCATTTACACCCACAGGTGTTCCGCACCAAGTTTCACATGTAGCTGTTTGTTCCAGGGCCCTGGAATGGCAAGGAAGTTCTCTGCGCCTGGGCAGCTGTGCATCTCCATGACCTCGAACCTGGGTGGCTCGGCCCCCATCTCTGCAGCGTCAGCTACCTCGCTAGGTCACTTCCCCAAGTCCATGTGCCCTCCACAGCAGTACGGTTTCCCAGCTGCCCCCTTCGGCACGCAGTGGAGTGGGACAGGCGGCCCAGCACCACAGCCACTTAGCCAGTTCCAGCCTGTGGGAACTGCCTCCTTGCAGAATTTCAACATCAGCAATTTGCAGAAATCCATCAGCAACCCCCCAGGTTCCAACCTGCGGACCACTTAGACCTAGAGACATTAACCGAGTAGATCTGGGGGCAGGCCGAGGGGTGCGGAGGGTGGGAGGGAGTGGGAACTAGCCTGTATACTAACTCCTAGTGCTGCATTAACTGGTTATTTCTTGCCAGAGGGAATGTTTTTAATACCGCTTTGAGCCCTCAGAGTGGAGACAGTCTCCATGTCCCCGTCTGTGTACTGGAGTGGGACAAGAAGGAAAGAGCAGCTTTCTTGTGAAGGGGCAGCTTCAGGCGATGCTTTTCTGTTCAGCTACACCCAACGGTGAGGGCGAGGGCTAGGAAGAGACCTTGTCAGCAGGACCCACCCGGGCGCTCTGCGGTCGTCGGCCTCGTCTGCGGGCAGTGGGTGGAGCGCCTACTTTGGCATGTGTCCCGAATTCCAGCTCCCTCAAGAACCCAAACAACAAGCCACACACAGAACTCCTGGGGTCTCTTACCTGCCCCTCCTCCCCCCCCTTTTTTTGCTCTTTACAACCCAGTGAGAAGTACCAAGGGACTGGGGTTACAGCCCTTCCTTATGATAGGTCATTAGTGCTTTAAGCAAAAGATAGCAGCCTCGACTGCAGCACTAGCAATTACGGAAAACACAAAACAGAAGTTCCCTGCGGACATGTAACTTTGCCATCAGTTTTGATGTGGAAACACTGTGATATATAAATGTTGTTGGACAACAGTAGTTTTAAGAGTAAAATATGAAAGATTTAAAAAAAAAGTTCCCAAAAAAGCTAGCTCTGTCCTTTACTTATTGAGACACTTTAACTCTTCCTTTGTATTTCCATTGTATTAGATAAATAAATGTGAATGTAAAATTGTACAAATTACTGTACTTGAATACTTCTGTTCTCCCAGTATTGCTTGCTGGATATTTTAGTGCCTTGGACTTGGATCGCTTCTGCCGTCAGCATCTACTTTTCCAGACCCCAGATCTACAGTGGGCATGTGGAAGGCGTTCTAGGTTGCTGTGACCCCAGCAGTGGAGATGCCAAAAGGAAGTTGGAAGAGTGTTTTTCAAGCCATTCAGTAATTCTGTCTGGAGCAGGTGTAAGACGAGTAGGGTGAGACGTTAAGTTGACATCAGTGGCTGTGAGCAGGAAGTTCTGTTTCAGGAATAGTGGGGAGGGAGATGACAAAACTGAGCACGTGGGAAAGCTCAGGGGCGGGAGGGGAGCCGAGTGGAAGGAAGACTACGGAGGGGGGACGAACTGCGCGCTGCCGGGCCAGTAACCCTCACGAGCCTCCCTTATTTGAGCTGGGTTTGAACAGAAGAAATGGAACCCAGAGAAGGGGGCGGGGCTAGGTTTTGAGTTGGGAAACGTGATGGTGACTCAGGGAGTTGCTCTAAGAAACCCGTTGGGCTTGCGTTCCTCTCGCGGCACGCGCTCTGCGTTTCTCAGCTTGGGGTACTGCGTAGTGCGGAAAGAAGAAACATCAAATCAGTGAGCGCCGTGGGAGAAGGCTTCTCCCACCCGTTTCCTGATGCCCACATGGTTGCAGAATCTGAACTGTTGTGCCACCTTTGTTTCTAGAATTACAGCTCATTTTCTGTTTTCACATAGGATTTTCTTTAAATAGTAACTGCAACCAGCCAGTATTACTTAGTGCTATGCCCCCAACAGCACTTCTGTTATTTTCAGAGCTTTTCTAAAATACTGTCTCAAATAGCGACGGTGGAGATCTCTATTATCTCAGAAGCTAGGCCTCTCAATTTCGGGGTGCTTCTCTTGACTCTTGGTTGGGAAGTTGACGTTATTTCCAACCTGTTACCCGCCTTCCCGGCACACCCAGGAATCCCCAACACAGGAAGAACATGGCTCCCCGGCCCCTGTCCCTTCCTTTGCGGCCCGTCTTAGCAAATTGGCCCAGGCCCCCAGAGACGCGCAGGGAGCTGAAGGTTCTAGGAAGGTGGAAGTGAAAAGGGCGGGGCCCAGCCCTGCCTCCTCACTGCTGCTTGCTCTGCTGAGGCTCTGCTGGGGAGGGTTTAAGAACAGGGGTGGAACCGAGGCCGAGGGGGAAGTGGGCCACCTGGGACGACAGCGCTGCAGCCAAGCCGAGCCAGGGGCAGGCGCAGCACGTTACTGCTATTTTGGTTTAATTCTTTTGAGACCCTTTCATCCATACAGAAAAAGGTTTTATTTACTGTTGATTTTGTTTCCTTCCTGTGGATGAAATAACTGAAGCCTAGAGGAATGGACTAGTGCTACTGAACTGTTTAAATTATTTTCGTGTTAATAGTACACTTTGAGTATCTTTTTCCACATTAAAAATTTTTTCTGAATTATAAATGTTTTCCTTACATTATTAAAAAATGTACACTGTTTGAAAATTTAAAAAAAAAAACTGAATTCAATCCTTGGGGATGTCTCAGCCGTTAACTGTACATTTTGCACTAACTCTGGGTGTCGCGCTTCTTGTAAGATTGCGCTCTGTGCTTCAGTTTGTTACCTTTGTAGATTTATTTAATGAAACCATTCAAATAAACCAGACTTGCTTTTGTTGAGTTGTGGGGTTTCATTTCTATCAAATTACTTATTCATGTTTTCGTCTACCCTATTTACAAATGGAATCCTAATTTGCGAGGACCTTTTTTGAGCAGTTTTGCCCAGAAGGAAGATTATGCTACAGATAAGGAAGGTTACTTTTTTTTCTTTTCTTCCTGAGGAAAATCCTATGGACATCAAAAGATGACTGTAGGGACCAGCAGGTGGTGTAATGATTAGGTCACTGGGCTCCCACATAGTTGACCATGGTTCGAATCCCATACCCGACAGCTTGAAACACTATGTGCTTATGTGCCCAGGATCCTGGGAGGAGGAGGGATTGTGGTGAGGCCATCCCCCCAGGGAGTCACTTCTCACTTTGTTTCTCTGTCTCTGGTGAATGTACTTACCCTGTAGCACAAATCTCTTTTTAAAACAGAACGTGTAACTGGATCGCTATGTGACAGGAAGGCAGAACTTAGAAGAGCACGCAGCCAGTGGAGGAAGCGGCTGCCTCTCCACCTGTTGGCCACCACCCAGTACTTGGAGTTCCTTAGTTAGTGAAGCTCAGCTTCCCACACGGGCCTGTCACTACGTGGACCGACCCCTCAGCACAGTAGTTAAATGCTGTGCGTTAGAAGTCAGATTCTGGAGCTGGCAGGTGGCATGGTGGTTAAGGGCGGTGTGAATCCCAGACCTGGCAGTTTGCTTTCTCATGTTCCCTCTCTGATCAAATTGAAAATAAAGTTACATAAAATAACTCAAAAGAAAAAGCCAGATTCCACGTGGCCAACCACGGTTCAAAATCTCAGCCCCAGAAACGTGAACATGGGAGTACATGTGCATGTGTACCCGAAACCCTGATGGGACAGAATAGAGAGGGTGCTGTGGCCTGACCAAGCTCCGTGGGGTGCGTGTGTGCATGCTCATACTCTTCTGGCAAGCACATGCACCCTGTGTGATTAAAGGGGAAGCACTCCAAGACAAGGCATGAGCCAGCGCAGATGTCCTGGGAGAAGTAAAACTGCAGGCCAGCTCTGGTGCAGCAGGGACACAGCTTGCGAAGCTGCTGAACCCCTCGTGGGACCGCAGTGCAGACCCTGGGCCTGGTTAACCTGGTGCGGGGCAGAGCACACGTGCAATGTCCAGGCCAGGGGCTGGAGCAAAGTGGTGGCCAGACTAGTGGAGGGTGTGCCTCTATCTCATCATTTGGACAGAAGAAATAGTTTCCCACGTTGCAGAAAACTAATTTGCCAAGTGGGTGACGTCACACAGCCGACACGGGAGAATGGAGCGACTGCTCCACTTTCCACTTGGTTAAAAAGTAGAGGATTCTCTTTCTCAAAACGCCTTTTCTGGCAAGAGTTCAAGACTGCCCACCCCTCCCTGCCATCACAGCAGTCTGCAGGCTCAATGCTCCACTGCAGGACGCTCCACTGCAGCCCTGTTCTCAGCAGGACACGGCGCTGTGCACTGCGTGAAGCATGGGGCCGAAGGAGAGGCGGGGTTCTGCTAGTTTAATGTGGGTGCTCGTTCAGCGGGTGCTCAGGCCCCGGGAGCCCTGAAGCACCTCTCGACATCACTACGAATAAACAGAAGCCTCGGCACCCAGGAAGGAACTGTCCCATCCTTCAGACCCGAAGGGTGGTGTGAGGGCCTTCAAGAGCCCAGCTTTCTCTGCAGCAGGCTCCGACAGGCCTCGATAAGGCAAGGTCAGTCCTTGGAAAGGGAGGTCATTCCTCAGGAGCGATGAGCGATTTCATGACCAAAAAGTTTTCCAGAGTCCTTTGTGACAGTCCAGTGATGTTGCCTGAGCCTCGGTTAGGATGGATCTAGTTTCCTCTTCTTCATATCCTGGCTCTTCCTGTGAGAGTCACAGTTCCCTGTGGGAGAAAACAGCGTGAATGTGGCCGCCATGGTCTAAAATAAGGGGTAACTGACAGGTCCAGGCCTAATTCAAACAGCCCAAGACGGGAGCCACTGTCAGGAGGGCAGCCCCTGTGCACCCTAGGCACCGGGCTGCACGAAGTCCCTGGGGCTGCACTGCCCGAGCCAGGGATTCTATCCAGTGTCTCAAAATGTCCTCCTTCCCTTAAAATTCACAGGCCAGGCCCCACTTGGTGCACACGCTGCTAGGTGTGCCTCGCAGGCTGGGAACATGGGGACAGTCCAACCCCACGGCTGGGCAGAGGTGTGCCCGTCCTCTCAGCAGTCGGGGGGCCAAAGCAGGAGGGTCACAGCAGCAGGACCCTTGTTTGGGGGAAACGGACAGAATCACACCGGCTCGCCCTTCCGCTCGCATTCCTGAAGCAAGCCTTTGCTACCTATTATATGCTGGTTGGCGCTGTAAGTTGGGGGGTCCCAGCGTCCAGATGTTGCTTGTGGCTTCTGCTGGCAAAGGCTGTGAGGGGTTCTCTTTTGGATAACCATTTGGTTGTTCAGGACTGGAGGAGCAGAGATCTGTGGGGGGGTTTCTGGTCTAGAAAGGGGCTTCACACCATCATCCAAGCCATCTGGGGTCAAATCCCACATTTCAAGGTTGTCTTCAAGGTTCTCTACAGAGATCACAAAAAACGTGTTGCACCAGCAAGTAAACCAGTGTTCTCGGTAAGAAACTCCCCATCGTGTGCCCAGTGGTCGTTTTCGGAAGCCCTCTCCTCAGAGTACAGGGAAGCGTCCCTTGGGATAGGACAACAGAGATGGTGCACGGTCAGACCCCACCAGTCCACCCTGGGGCCTTCCTCTGCATCCTGTACCACTCATGGGGCTGTAAAACAGGGGACGCGGACTTTTATGCCTCTTTTACAATGCATTCTGTGAACATCAAAAGCACACAGCACAGTAACTTGCAAACATTTCACAAGGTTTTTCTGTCTTCCATGAGTGAGAGACAAATACGGCATCCCCAACAGGACTGCCAGAGAGAGGAGGGGGAGAGAAAGCATCCTCCCCGGGGGGGCAGTCACATAAAACCTTTCTCCATTTCTCCACCCGTCAGGGTTTTGGCAGCACACACGTGTACCTCGGCGTGTTGTTCAAGACGTCGGGGCCAGAATCCACACCGTGATCGGCCGTGTGAGTGCCGATCCCCCGTGCAGAGCGTTTAACCACTGCACATGGGGCCGGCTGCCTAATTCTTACACTTTTAAGATTTATTCAACTTTGTCACTATGATGAGAGAAAGCAAGCCACCAGGTCTGGGACTCGAAACCATGGCCAGTGATGTGGGAGTCCAGCACCTTAACTGCCATGCCACCTGCCAGCCCCCCTGCTAATTCTCAAGTCATACCTGCAAGGGAGTCTCTCTCGGGGAGCGGTTCTGAGACTGCGGCAATGGGCGTGCTGTGTGTCAGAGGGGCCAGGTGCGCTGCTGCAGCTTACAAAGGAAGAAACAGTCAAGTCACATAGAGCGGGGGACTCTGGAGACCACGCCTACTATGGCCCTCTTCCAGAGGGAACAGGCTCAGGAGTGCAAAGCTGCCTGGGCCTACACTAGGCCTGCTGGGAAAAGAACTCAAGATTCAGAGTCCCAATTATTATTATTTTTTGGGGGGGCAGAGGTTTTTGCTATAGGGCGCGTGTACTCGCCAGAAAGAGACAGAGACAGAAAGCGAGAAATCACCCCCCAGGGGAATGGCCACACCACAATCCCTTCTCCTCTCGGGATCTTGGGCATGCACGCACACACGCCCGGCATGAGTTTAAGCCACCGGGTCCGGGACTCGAACTGTGGTCGACTACATGGGAGTCCAGCGACATAGCCATTATGCTAACTGCTGGTCCCTCCAGTAGGTTACTTTTTCAAGTCAAACCTTTGCTCAAGCAAAATCTTAAGCAGAAGTCCAGTATGTAAAGCTGGTAAGCCCCACAGCCTTGCTGTCTGGTAGGGGTGGGGCTGGGGCAGCCCTCGGAGCTCGCCTGGACACCTGAGAGCGCTCCCGGTAAAGGCTATCGCCAGGACGGTGCTTTTCTATTTTTAACGTTAACTCAGCTCCTCGGCCTTGAGGGGATGTTGGCCAAACGAGAGGTCTTGGCCGTCTTCAGAGCGAAGGGGGGAACCAACCCAAGGCTGGTCTGCCTGCGGCAAGGCCTTCAGTGCCACTCAGGCACGCCCGGCCAAGCACCCCCGTCACACCCCGTCGCAGGGCCTGGGGCCGCAGCAGAGGAGTGTGTGGATAAGTAACCCGCCCGCAGCTGTTTTCTTGGAGCGCAGGTGCCTCACGTCCAACGTCATCTCTGAAACAGGTTTCCTGAGCTAGGGAAGGCAGGCCCAGGTACCCGGAGCGGAGGGAGTTCTGCCGGAAACCTGGAATCCCAGAGGTAACCGGCCACTCTTCCCTGGAGAGCCCTTGCCTTCCAGGGGGAGTGCGTGGCAGGCCCCCACCCGCTCCCTCTACGCCCGAGCAGCCCTGGCGACCACCGCCCTGTGCCCTGTGCCCTGTGCCCGGCCCACAGGACCTCCCTCCCGGCTCCCCCGGCCAGGGCCTCCTCGCACACCCTCACTCTTCCTCCCGGGGGCGGCCGGGGCTGCGGCGGCCGGGGCTGGCTGGGCCGCGGGCACCTGCTGCTGCTTCTCCATCGCTGCTTCTGCCGGAGCTTGCGCTGGTGCGTGGCGGCGCTCTCCGCCGGGCAGGCGGCCAGGCTCCTGCAGCGGGGAGGAGGGCGTGAGGGCAGAGGAGTGGCTGGCGGGCAGGCTGCGGGCAGGGTGGAGGCAGGGAGCAGGGCTTACCCAGAGCCACCGCCCTGATCCCCCTGTCCCCCGGCGCGGGGGTCCTC